TAAGAAGTTTCATGAAAATTTCTATGAGCAGTAACCTAATTCTCCCCTGTACCTACTCCAATCTCAGATCTGACTGCACCAAGACACTCTAACAAATGTACTGCATGATTCATAGTAAACACTTAGAAATTAGCTGAAACTGTCACCCAGAAGCAGAATTATCAGTGGTGTGGAGTTCAGAGGATATCTTGTCACAGGTCAGGGGATAGAAAGATGAATTTTTGTTTTTCCTTTGGCTGTTAAAAAATCACATACACCAAATAGTGTGCTTTGCTTCGCTTTGAGGTCTCCATGCTATAACATGTTTTTGTTTAAGATGCACTATCACTAGGAGGAGGTGGTTTGTGAGGCAAAGGGCAGAATCCATTTTAAAATATCTCAGAAGATTTTCTGGCTATTGTCCATCCTGTTCTCTCAAGCTGTGTATGGGTGCAGCGTTAATAACCTTGGAGAGTAAATAACACTGCCAGTTGCAAAATAGGGACATGTAGAAGTTGATTGATAACTGTATTATAAAGGAACCTCACAGTGGCGGGTGTGTCCTGGAGATCAGAGGGTGTGGTGTCCTTTTAGTTAGAAATTGGAAAAACAAAACAAAACAAGAAACCAACCACCTGTGAGGCAATTTAGTTTTGTTTAGGTTACAGCAGTTGCGATCTCTTGACACTCATTGTACATTCTTTCTTTTTTTAGAATATGAAACTAACACTGAATCAAGTCAAAGTAGTTATTTTTTTTTAAGTTAGAATGAAATAAGTCCATCTAAGTGCCTTTTGTTCAATTTTTGTTTTTCTCAGCAAGTCATATTACTTTATTTGAATAGCATCAAGTGTTTAAAATAGATCTAATAGTAAAAATTGGTAACATAAATTAGTGGACGGGTTTCTGATCAGAAAATCTATAGATAAAGGAACAGCATCTAGAAGAGCAAAAATAAAATAACCTGGTTTGGGGGTGGGGGGTCATCTAGGTCTATTTGTTGCCCTTACTAATAGTTTAAAGGTTATTTCTTATTGTTCTTCATATTTTTCTATCTAAATATTGACATCATACTGCTGTGTGTGTGTGTGTGTGTGTGTGTGTGTGTGTCCTGCATTTGCTAACCCAGCTCCTGGGAGAATCTATCTCACTTTGTTCCATGAGTACCTGGCTACCCCACCCTACATTAGACTCTTACTGTCAAAGGCAAATGGGCTGAACCATGGATTTGCATGTAAATGTTATGCAGGTTAGTATTTGAATGGCTGGGACAGGAAGACCGTCCTTCCTGGTGTATGCTCTCAGCATGTTTTGGACTCATTGACTTGAGCCAGTCTCCTATGTAAGTAAGTCTCTCATCTGAACTTTCTTTTTCTTGCTTTTAGTCAATTTCTTTTCCTTGGTTTAAACATATCCATTAGATTACCGTGTTGACAATCTGCCCAGGTCTCACAGTTGTTGTGTGTGGGTTAGATTCTCCTAGAGGTCCAGGGTGCTGGTTGGAATAGGGGTGACTTTTGAAGCTGGAAGAAAAGAGCACAATTGGGAAAAGTTTTTGCTGAGTTATCTCCCACCCCAACTCCCTGAGGGGCTCTATCTCCAACTTTCATTAATGATAACTCTGAACTTGAAAAAAAATGTTTCTTTTGTCTGGTTATTCTTTTTTTTTTTTTTTAATATATTTTATTGATTTTTCACAGAGAGGAAGGGAGAGAGATAGAGAGCTAGAAACATCGATGAGAGAGAAACATCGACCAGCTGCCTCCTGCACATCTCCTACTGGGGATGTGCCCGCAACCCAGGTACATGCCCTTGACCGGAATCGAACCTGGGACCTTTCAGTCCGCAAGCCGACGAACTCTGAACTTGAAAAAAAATGTTTCTTTTGTCTGGTTATTCTTGTAAGAAAAGAAAAAATCTTGGTAGACCAAATTTATGAAAATCTAGGTTTGAGATATGTTGTATATTGGTGTGTTTCTGATCAGTGAGATTTATACAGATTAATAAATTGGAGCAATATCCAATTGCTTAACTTACAACTGTTCCAAAACAATGCAGTAATGTATGACTACCAACTATATGACATTTCTCCAAAATCTCATAATTATTATTTATTTAATTAATATATATTTTATGTTTAGCAAAAGGCTTCTCATTAAAATGTTTCATATATGAGGTTTAGAACAAACGAGAGGCTTATGCAGAGGTTCTGACAAATGAAAGATTTATAATATGATGGAGACAAACTGTATTTTTGCTGTATTCATTATCTTGGCACTAAATAATTTGACTTTTTAAAAAATCAAAGTGTGTGCAAAATGGTGGGTTCCTTTCCATATTGGAAACTAGTTTAATTAAATAGGAAATAACTACATTCTCTTTATACTTCTTAAATTCAAACGCAAGTACCCATGACCCTGACAGGTACAAGACGTCTTTTTCTGACTAAATTAACTTTTAGTTAGTGCAATATAATTATTCCATGTAACAAACATTATTAATTATAGCCCAATAATAAGTGTTATTTCAAACTACACATAACAAATTTTTATATGTTATAGAGTGTGAAAAGGGCCTGATTTTTATTATTATTAAGGAATCATTCTTTGCTGACTTTTATGAAGTACGATACTCAATGAAACTGAAAGATATTTATTTTTTATCTTTATAGCTTTATTTCTTATATATATTGGAATATAGTTAAATAAGCATACAGTAATTACTAATACAAGTTATTAAAATATTTTTTAAGGATAAGGCCATCATTATTTAACTACCCAGAGTATAAGGTACAATTTCTCTACAAAATTTAATTAAAAATATTATCCCACTCTGTCCTGTTCTGTGCATATTACTTTCCTCTGTGGAATGCTGCCTGTAATATATGAAGTGTTTGTTTTCTATATTTGTCTTCCTGACTGGCCTACGAGCTCTCTTGGGACAAGAACTGTGTTTTTGTGTGTTACTGTTCCTAGTACAAAGTGGGCCTTTGATGATCGTTGTTGAATTAAATTAAACTGATGTCTTGAGGGGCTTCAGTCTGACCCATATAATCTGACCCAAAGATATTTAAAGCAGAGAAGAACTGAAATAAAAGGGAGATGACTCCTCAGTATTGATACGTAGGAGAATTAGATATAAATTCTAGCTTTGCAGTTTGTGAAGTTATCTAAACATTTGAGGTGAACATTTAAAAATTTTATTGGAAGTCTTTGCCTCCCCAATAGCCTGGGTTAGGGTATCTCAGAAAAAGTTTTTGTGGGTTTTGTGCGTGTGTGTGTTTGTTGTTGTTGTTGTTATTTATCTTCACCCAAGGATATTTTTCCATTGATTTCTTAGAGTGGAAGGGAGGGGGGAGAGACAGAGAGAAACATTGATGTGAGAGAGACACATCAATTGGTTGCCTCCCACATCTGTCCCGACCAGGGCCAGGGATAGAGCTTGCAACCAAGGTATGTGCCCTTGACCAGAATCGAACCTAGTACTCTTCAGTCTGCAGGCCAACACTTTATCCACTGAGCCAAACCAGCTAGGGCTCAGAAACAGTTTTGTTTACAGGGGAGAGGACACTATATTTATTTTGATCTGGGTTTACAGGCTGACACCACCATTCTGAATATTCCTGGGAAATTCGTTTATTCATTGGCTTTACTTTCCTTACCTGAAATAAGTAAATCTTTTCTTGTTAAAACCCACTGCATCAGATTGTTGGGAAATTAAATGAGATGATACATAAAAGGGCTTTTGTAAATTTTAATGGGCTCAACAGATGTAAGCTGCTGGTATTGTACTGGGTAACATATTCAGCAAACTCTTGTAGACCTTCACTTCTTCTGTGGCTATGGTCAGGTTTATCTTGGATGGATTCTAACTACTGTGTATGATACCCAGCATCCCACCACTGAAACCTGTTGTTGGTTATGGCAGTTAATATATTTTACGTTTGATTATGGAATACTTTAAATGTGTCCATTTTTTCATTGTCTGTGCAGAGTTTTTTTTAAGACAGCTTTTTAAAAAAATATTTTTTAGTTGATTTCAGAGGGAGAGGGAGAGAGCGATAGAAACATCAATGATGAGAGAGAATCATTGATCAGCTGCCTCTTGCACACCACCCACTGGGGGCCAAGCCTGCAACCCGGGCATATGCCCCAACCAGGAATCGAACTGTGACCTCCCAGTTCATAGGTCGACACTCAACCACTGAGCCATGCTGGCTGGACATGTGCAGATTTTTGATAGGTCCAAATAATTTCAGTTTTATTAAATTTTAATTTATTTTCCTAAATAGATAAAATAATAATGAAAATATGCTTATTAGAAAATCTTATTATTACAGAGAAACCTATGTTCTACTGTATTGTTTGAAAGAGAATAAGGGAACTCATCAACCCTAATGTCCCAAAGTTCCCCCCAAATTAGGAACTCCTGATAGAGACTAAGTTCAAAAGAGATTTTCAAACATTTGGCCCAGCAGGCTGGGACTTGTTAAGCCCATTTGAGCACCTAATAATAGGTGCTGCCTTAGAGGGAATCCTTTAGATCTTTGAGAATTTGATTAAGTTTAAAGTGTCTGACCTGTCAAGCTAGAAAATTGAGAACCATTTTAAAACCACCAGGTCAAAAGTTTTAGGTTGAGTAATATCTCCATAAGTAGAAATGTTTTATGTCCACATAGAATGTTCTGTTTAAAGAAAACTTGACTTAAGTCCATGAAACAAACTCGACCTGCCCTTTATGTTTAGAATTTGTTTTGCCCAAGAATTTGTCAGGTTTTATTTAAATATTAGACTTGGAAGTATACTTCAAGTTGGATTTTTTTTTTGCAAAGTACAGCGTTGAGGAAGTAGGCCTATCCATCTGCCCTGTGTAATCCCATCTCCATATCCTCTCCAAAAGAGCTAAGTCAATATGGGTTCATTTAAAATTATATGAAAATGTTTGCTTAAAACCACCTTTCTGGAGTGGAAAATGTCAAATTGTTGGACTTATTTCTCCTTTTCCCTTTTTTTCCCCTTGAGGAGAATGCTATTGAACGCTTGACTTCTGAGAGCCTGCCACAGTCCAGGTTTGCCTTGTCTGTTGTATGTGTGTGAATTTGTGTGCATATTCAATTAATTTTTGAGAGATTTCTTTGGGCCTGACACCTCAAAACATTTCTTCCACTCTTTTGGCAGAGACTATTCCACACTATCATCTCCTGGACACACGTCATCCACTGAGAGTACTGTAACTTCAAGTGGTGAGTGGACTCGGAAAAGATATCAACATAGAGTGTTAGTATTATAACTGTGAGCTTGAGGTCCTGTGCCCTGCTGACGTGTGTGCAAATGAAAAGAACATAGGCAAATACTTTTGCATAATATTCGTGCTCATAGTTTCTTCCTGTCAGAAACTTTGAATAAGGCTTCTGGTTACTTTGCTTGTAAATCACTCTGTGAGAAAAAGAAGGATAGAAGATCAGATTCTGCTATGATAAAAGTCAAAGGTAAGCTCTTAAAGGGATCAAGTATGGTTTCCAATCTGAAACACTAAGCAGACCTATAAGCGAGTAGAGTAACTATTCTCAGTAGCATTATTTTTTAAAAAGAATTTGGAAACTTAGTTTAGAGAAATTAAGTCCAAGAGATGACTATTGCCTTTACATATGGTAATGTTACCAACCTTTTTTTCCAATTCTGTATATAAAACCAAAATTACAATATATTCAATAAAATTTTCTTTATGGCAAAGATTCATTAGCCACAGCTGGGTCTCGACTTTGGCTCGGATGTAGAATCTGAGCCAAAGGAAATTCCAGAATCCTAGTTAGAATCTATTAGGTTACAAGATAGACCAATTAGTGATGGTCCCATTCAGGAGGCAAAAGAACTAACTAGATGACATGTTAGATCCTTTCTGCCAGTTGACTCTGAAAACAAAGTAGTTATTGTCAACCATTCCCAGTGAGACACCACATATTGTAAATAATATGGAGGGGAATTTGCCAATATGTACCAAAATGTTAAGTGTGCATATCTTGTGATAAAACAATTTGATTTCAGGGAATTTATTCTATAGATCTAAGTACACACATACAATATGACATATGTATGAATTTATTTTCTGTATTATCTGTAATAACCAAATATTAAAAACAAGTTAACTATCAGTAAAATAGAATGTTAGTTAATATATTTTGACATATCCATGTAATGAAATACTTATATGGATTCATAAAACATATATAAGGAACCTGTTTTCTTGGAAGGTTAGGAAAGAACTATTATTTCTTGAAAAAGAAAACCATACACACCAATAATTATGTATGACATGTAAAAATTTATTAAAATAAAGACAAAAAAGTTTTTTTATGTATAAAATATCTTTGGAAGGGTAGACAAGACAACAGAAAGTGGGTTTCTGTATGGCATGGATGGGAGGACAAATTTTCACTGTGAAACATTTTAAATTTTTAAATGTATGGACCATATGAATCTATTATCTGTCTTAAAACTTAAAGAAAAATGAAAATAAAATTTCCATAGGGAAAAAATTTATACCTCTGAAGAAGTGTTTGCCATTTTGTTCTTATTTCCATAAAAATTTGAAAATATAACACAGTCTTCAACTATTTTTTTTCTTAAACAGAAAGGAACAAAACCTACCTGTAGCTGTTAACTTTTGTGCCTACACTGAGCTAAATTCAGTACAATGGATCCTGTGAAGAGGAAAATCATTATTAAGTACATTACAATGCAAATAAAGTACATGAAAATAAGGGGAAATTACACAAAGAAATGGCATAATTTAAAAGCCACCTTCTCTTCTTAGTTTGATGACATTTTATTTAGAAAGATACATATTTTAGAAGGCTATCTTTTGTTATCAGCCTTAGGTATGTAATTTTAAAAAACCTGTTTGTCAGGCTATAAAAAAGCTACTAAGCTACTAATTGCCCATCCTTCCTTCATCCAGTTTCTATAATTATACTAGTAATGTGTTTGTTTTTTTAACAAAGCAGCAGCAGCCTTTAAAAATATATTAAAATCTGGAGTATTTGAAGGCCATTTATACAGATGTTAATTTCTACTAATTATATGGCTAGCTTCCCTGGGAACCTCAGCTTCTCTAGCCTTGATTCTGAATCAATGGGCACCTTTAAAGTTATGCAGTATGAATTTATCTCACATGTTAAGGCTTGTGCTACTCACTAGTCTGCTCATATTGCCACCCTCACTATTTCTTCCTCTTTTTTTGATACAGCTCCCCAACTGTTTAGTGTGTTTTCTTTTTCTCGTAGACGCAAGTCCAGCTCATGAGAATAGTGCACTCCAAAGCTCTGTGAATGAGAACAAAACCATGTTAAATCTGGTAAGGAAATATACATGAGTTAACAATAAAAGTAATGATATATTACAATGGTGGAACTGTTCCTTTAAGTTTGCAAAATACTCTTAAAGGCACTATCTCATTTTCTCCTTTCAAAATATCATGTTAGAAGAATGTAATTATACAAATATTTTCTAAGAAAGTTGAGGCCAAAGCATCCCTGTGATTTGTCCCAGCTCACACAGCAGAGTCTTTAATTCACTCATTTATTCTTCAAAGGTCTACTGAAAATAAGCCCAGTGTCAATCAGTAGAGGACTTTTAAATAAGTGAAGGCACTAATAAACAAGTTTGAATAAAACACTGATATCTATCTTAAAGATATGTTCTAATTAGGGGAAGAAGCATACAGTTACTCCATAATTGGAGTGTGCTGAGTGATGTGAAAGGAAAATGCTTGGGGTGAGAGGCCAAAAGAGATGTCATGGATGAGGTATGAACACAAGAACATGAGAGGAGGGAGGGAGTAAGAAGAGGAGAATTTGTGGGGTAAAATAAGATCAGTTGGAAATAAAGTTTCAGGCCGATGTGAGACATCAATAGTTTGTAAGGAGATTTCATATGTGACTACTAGTATAAACCCATTTTCTTAAACTTGCCAATGGGACTTTTAGAAGCAGATACACATTTGTGAGTTATCAGCAAAGAACCAAGTTTGTGGATAAGATTTCCCAAGGATTTGGCAGTCAGAAAGAGAGCACTGAGGATAATTAACTCTCAATGATTCCATTTTCTAATATGAGAAGGCAATGCAGAGGAGCCTGAGGAGAAGGTGTTGTAGTGATGGGCAGATGTTGGGAGAGCAGAACCAAGGGAAGAGACATCTTCAAAAAAGAGAGGGTAATGGATTGTCTTAGATGCCACAGTGAAGTCAAGTAAGACAAAGACTGAGAATATCCTTTGGATTTGGCAGTAGGGAGTTCACTGATAACTGAGAGAGAGCAGTTTTCTTGGTGTGTTGGGTATAGGAGCAGAGTAGTTCGTTGTTGACTAATGGGACACAAAGAACTGGAAACTCAACTATGGACAACTCCTCCCAGAGCATGGCCATGAAGGACAGGAGAGGGAGAAAATGTCATAGCTGGAAGAGGTCATGGGGTTGAATGAGGATTCAAAAACTTAAGAATATTTAAATGTTGACAAGAACGATCCAGTGCTTTCCCTGTAGTGTTGCGATTGTTACATTTTATCGGTCTTAGTTTCAACTGCCTTCAAATTACATGATATGGTCATCAGTGGCTCTACCAAGGAAATTTGACTTTGACTCATTTTTATGGGAAATTTCTAAGAATGTTGAGTAATTATTATCATAAAATGATTGTATACCTACAGCTTTCCCATCAGATTGCCCAGGCTGTGCAATATAACCCTCTTATTATGGAGATTCTTGTTGTATAGATACATTTGTAAGACAGGTGATCAGTGACCTTCAAGTAATTTCATATGGAGTAAAAGCCGAACAGCACCATCTTGGCCGTTATTTTTGCCGCAGTTTCTCCAATAACCCATGGCATGCGATAGTCCTAGAACACCCCACCCCCTTTCCCTCTTCATCCATCCGATCCTACCTCTCCATCAGGCTTCCGCATGTTCCATGTCAGCAGAGACTCTCCATGCTACTCCGGCCATGGCGTCTCTCTTCCTCCTCTGCCATGCTCCTACTTATCTAGATCCCGTTTATTTAGCCATTCATCCCAGTTTGCTTGGTGGTAACTTGTATCCTGTTTGCAGCTTTTCATATATTTCTGTCCTTCATGCTGCAACTAGATTGGAAACCCCCCTGGAGCCAGTCCTGTTTCTTCTTTAACCCTAGGACAGTTTGTTGTTTGTTTTTAGTGTTTTGACCAGGTAGGGTTAGGGGAGGACAGGAAGTTGGTTATAAAGGATATCCACTTGATGTACAACAATAAAATCTCTTTATGATTTTAGGAAGCCAAAGAGGAAACCAAAACAATAAATGAGCCTAGAAAAGAATGTGTCGCAGGAGGTAAGGAATGTTCTCTCTGAACCCCCATGTGAGCTTTTTTTCCCTGCTGGCATTTTTATGGGTGAAGTCTTTCTGAGTACAGACGTGGCATCTACAAATTGCGCATCACTAGATAAAATTAGCCAGTAGAACTGATTCTTGATTCCATTTGTATTGTTTTCAAAAAGTCACATTAATGTTGCCACTGATTGTTAGACCCCAGAGGACTACTGCCCTGTTGTGAACTAAGAACCATGCCAATGTTGGGAGTAAATTCTCCAAGTCCATGAGTCAGTATTTAAAGAACAAGTGCTCTAAGCTTCCCTCCCCATTTCACCTTTAATAGGAGGGAGTAGTGGGCAGAATTCAGGCTTTGGGGTCACGCAGACTCTATGCTGGGTCAGTCTCTGACTAGCTTTGACTTTGGGAAGTTATGTAATTTGAGTCTTAATTTTCTCATCTGCAAAATGGAAAAGATGAGTAAAAAGATGTTACCCTTTATGGAGAGCATTCTAAGTGCTAAATTATGTACATAGTTTTATTTAGGTCTCCCAAATACCTATGTGTGGTAGGTAAACTGTGATTCGGTTTCCTAGTCTGTGAACTGGAGATAACAACAGTATCTATCACAGACGTTTTACTGTGAGGCTTGAATAAATTATGTTTGAAGCACTTAGGAAAGTGTTAGGCAGAGAAGTTTCCATAAAAGTTAGCTACTATAGAACAATAATATCATCCTTATTTTGTAAATGGTCTGATGAAGTTGATACTTTTCCTCTTTGTGAAGTTGTCGTTAAGAGTGTCACTAGTACATATAACGAGCTTTGCGTGGGACTGGCAGGTAGTAAACCTGTGATTGAATGGTTGAGACCATGTGTATTGTTGGTGTTATTGTTATCAGTATCAGTATTGTTATTATTATTATTACACTATTATTATTCTTACTACTAGTACTATAATCACTATTACTCTTGCTGTTGCTATTCTAACTTTGCTATGAAAGAGAACCAGGGCACCAGAGGAAGGCATGCATTTAGCCACAGGATCAAGTCAAACAACATTCAAATGCAAAGAGAAAAAATTGAGCTGTCTCTTGAGTCAAAGACTATTCATTCACATGCCGAATGAATAGCATAGCATAACATTATGCTATGTTTCAGCAAATGCATTATTAGCTAGCTATCATCTCAGACATATTTCAATGAAACGCCTTTGTTTAGTGATGAGAGAACATAACATTTTATTGAATGTGCCTTTAGCTGTTGCTGTTAATAAGCCTTTTTAACCAAATAATATCTTACTGTCTTTTAATAGACGCTGCCGTTTCCTCTCCTCCTGTAACCACTGTGAAATTGGTTAACTTTAAACAAAGCGACAAGTAAGCTCTTCTTCACATAGCATGCTAACGTTTTTTGCTTTTCTGTTGAATTGTGTTTGAATAAGTTCTTTGTCTTATCCTACAGCACTTCTGCAAATGAGAAGGAGGTAGAGGTGAGTTTAAAGTAAATGTTTTTTATTTTAATGTTTAAAAAGTGTTTCAGGCTCACTTGCGTGTAGTCGCTTCACACTTTTGCACAGCTGCCCATACATTTGGTAATGACAAAGTGCAGGTCAAGTCTATGCGTGTCAACACTATGTTGCTGAGAAGAGAAAGAAATGACTCGGTATAATTCAGTATTAAACTGAGATATTTGACTACAACCAATTTTCTCCCTTGACCTTCATGTTAATTTGACAACAGGCCGAATTTCTCAGATTATCTTTGGGATTTAAGTGTGACTGGTTCACCTTAGAGAAAAGACTGAAGCTGGAAGAAAGAACCCGTGACTTGGCAGAAGAAAATTTGAAGAAAGAAATCACTAACTGTGTGAAGCTGTTGGAGGTAAGAATCACAACATTTGGGGACTGTGCAATGTTTTTAAAATTACATATAAGTTTACTTATTTGACTGAAACTAACACCAAGTACCACGCACTCCCACTGGGAATTAAGAGGAGGTAAGAATTCAGAATCAGGGTAAAATAAAAAAGATTCACTAATCAGAGAGAATAAGAAATAAACAATAAATGCCTTTTAAATTAGTCGTATGAGTTCTCTGACTTCTTTCTATATTTTCAAATAGATTTCAGGCAGGAAAGTTATCAGACAGAAAACTGAGAAATAGGAGATAATATCAATTTTAATATTCAAAGAAAATAATCAAAAGTCTATTTCCATCTAATTAACTAAAAAACCAGAGAGCCCTCTGCAAGGTTACAGAGCAGTGTAACAACTACTATTCTTCCATTTGGGGAAGTCACAATAAATATAGAGATGTGTTGGGAAACTAAGAGGGCTAATTGTGGGAAAGAAAAATAAAAGTTTAGAAACCATACTCTCTATTTTTTATTGTGGTAAAAGACACATAGAAAAATTTACCATGTTAACCATTTTACGTGTACAGTTCCGTAGTGTTACCTATATTTACATTGTTGTGAACAGATGTTCAGCTCTCCCTTCCTTCTCTTCTCAGCCCTAGTAACCACCATTCTCCTGTCTGTTTCTATGAATTTGACTAATTTAGTTACCTCATATAAGTGGAACCATACAGTACTTGTCTTTTTGTAACTGACTTATTGCACTTAGCATACTATCTTCAAAGTTAATTCATGTTGTGCCATATGACGGGGTTTCCTTCCTTCCTAAGGCTGAATAAAATGTTCTGTTTGTGTATATACCACATTTTGTTTATTCATTTATTGATGGATATTTGAGTTGCTTCTACCTCTTGGCTATTGTGGACATTGCTGCTATGAACAAGGGTGTGCAAATATCTCTTTGAGAACCCTGCTTTCAGTTATTTTAGCAATATTCCCAGAAGTGGGATTGCTGGATCATATGGAGTTCTAGTTTTATGGTTTTTTTTGAGGAGCAACCATACTGTTTTGCATAGTGGTTACACTATTTTACAATCCTACTAACAGTGCACAAAGGTTTCAGTTTCTTCACATCCTAGCCAACAGGTTCTTTTCTGATTTGAATTTCATGGTAGCTATCCTAATGGGTGAAAGGTTGTATCTCATTGTGGTTTTCTATTTGCCTTTCCCTAATGATTAGGTTTGTGGAGCATCTTTTCATATGCTTGTTGGCCATTTGTGTATCATCTTTGGAGCAAAATGTCTATTTAGGTCCTTTGTCAATTTTTCAGTAAGATGTGTGATTTGCAAATACTTTCTCCTCTTCCATTGGTTGCCTTTTCACTCTGTCCTTTGATGCACAAAAGTTTTTAAGTTTGCTGTATTACTATTGGTCTATTTTTGCTTTTGTTGCCTGTGCTTTTGGTGTCATATCCAAGCAATCATTGCCAAATCCAACGTCATTAAGCTTTATCCTATATTTTCTTCTGGAGTTACATAGTTTTGGTTTTTTAATCCATTTTGAGTTGATTTTTATATGTGATATAAGATGAGAGTTCCAATTCACTCTTTTGCATGTGGCTATTCAGTTTTTCCAACATCATTTGTTGAAGAGACAAGCCTGTTCCTCATTGTGTATTCTTGGCACCACTGCCAAAGATAATTTGACCCGATATGCGTAGGTTTATTTCTGGGCACTCTATTCTGTTCCATTGATCTATATGTCTGTCTTTATGCCAGTACACTTTTGATTACTGTGGCTTTGTAATATTTTGAAAGCAGGAAGTACGAATCCTCCAAGTTTGTTCCTTTTTTTTAAGTTGTTTTGGCTATTTGGGGTCTTTTGAGATTCCATATGAATTTTGGATGAATTTTTCTATTTCTGCAAAAATTCCATTGAGGTTTTAATAGAGATTGCATTAAATCTGTAGACTTATTTTGGTGGTATGGGCATCTTTTTTTTTTTTCACTGTATACCTTTTGACTTTTATATATATATGAATTGAAGTCTTCCAATTTATGACACAGGATGTCTTTCCCTTTATGTATGTGTCTTTAGTTTCTTTCAGCAGTGTTTTATAGTTTTTAGTGTACAGATCTTTACCTCCTTGGTAAGATTTATACCTAAGTATTTTATTTTCTGTGGTGCTATTGCAAATGAAATTGTTTTCTTAATTTCATTTTTTATTGTTCATTGTTAGTGTATATAAATGCAATTCATTTTTGTATGTTGATTTGTATCCTATGACTTTGCTAAATTCATTTATTCTAACAGTCTTTTGTGGAATCTTTGGGGTTATATAACAGAAATAATTGTACTTTTTCCTCTCCAATGTGGCATTTTATTTCTTTCACTTGCCTAATTGCTCTGGCAAAGACTTCCAGTACTAAATTGCATAGAAGTGGTGAGAGTAGGCATCTTGCCTTGTTCCTGATCTTATAGAAAAAATTTTGTCTTTCACCATTAAATATTGTTAGCTGATGGCTTTTCATCTATGCCCTCTATTATATTGAGGTAGTTTCCTTCTATTCTAGTTTTTTTGAATGTTTTTATTACTGGTATGAAGGGTGTTAAATCTTGTCAAATATTTTTCTGCAGTAATTTAGATGATGATGTGGCTTTATCTTTTAATCTCAATGTGGTTTATTGCATCAATTGATTTGTATATGTGAAACCATCCTTAATTCCAAGAACCAATCTTACTTGGCCATAGGTACAGCCCTTTTAATGTGCTGTTGAATTCAGTTTGCTAATCTTTTGTTGAGAATGTTTATATAAGTATTCATAATGGATACTGATCTGTAATTTTCTTATAGCCTGGCTTTGGTATCAGTGTAATAATACTGGCTACAAAGAATTGTCTTGCAAGTATTCCCTCCTCTTTAATTTTTTGGAAGAATTTCAGAAGGATTGGTGTTAATTCTTTAGTTGTTTGGTAGAATTCTCCAGTAAAGCCTGGTACTGGACTTTGTTTTGTTGGGGTATTTTTGATAATGCTTTCAATCTCCTTACTAGTTATTGATTTATTCAAATAGTCTATTTCTTCACAATTCAGTTTTCTTAAACCATTTCCATTGGCTGAGAACTAATATCTGCTCTCCCCTTTACAATTAAAGTGGTTTTTTAAACTATCAAGGAAATTGTGTGTTTGATAATGGCTATTCCAATTGATTAGCAACTCATACATATCTGTCTGCTTCAGAAGTGTCTGCCATTCATTGAACACCTACTGGTAGCAAACAACTGGCATCTATTACCTCTCATGTCACAGTATTCCTGGAAAGGAGATAGAATTGTCTTTTCCTGACAGATGAGGAAATAGTAAATCAGAAAGTTTGACACTATAACCTTTCTATAATTAGGGTGCAATTTACAGTCAATATTACCTTATAATTTTATTGGTAGAACTTTTTCTTTTTTTGCTATACAAAGTGTATGGTGTTTTAGATTGGGGCAAGTCTTCAAAATATGCTCATGATCACACAGCTAGGGAGCAGTAGCTTGTTTGCTTCCAAACTCGCTGTTCTCTTAATTCTGTCCCCACCCCAGTGAGAAGAATGATCCTCCAAGGGAAGGCCATCATTTTGCATGAAGGGCGCAGATTGGAGAGAAATATTCATATGGCAATGAAGGCATACCCACATAATCAGCCCAGTCACTTTGTCACCAATGGAAGAGCAAGTGTAGTAGTCAGAACCATACCTAATTTCAGTATATTTTCATTACTTTTCTTAAAAGTTCAAACTATACTCCTCAGTAATATATTCAACTCATTTATAAGCATATTTCTTAATATTACCAATTACGCCCATTCCATTGTAGAAGAAAAATATAAATACACATAAAGGTGGGGCAAATTTGAGAAGAAGGGATCAAGAATAGATATAGAAGGCTTTGTGAGCCCCTGCATAGGCCTACTTGATAGCCAATAAAGGTATTAATATTTCAGTATCTTTCATTATTGGTCTTAGCAGTGCTTTTCATTCTCCACCAAGAAAATTGAGATTTGACTGTTGTCTGCACTTACAATATAGTGTTAGAATCGCTTGCTGGATTTGGGATTGGATGCTTCCTAATGCCTTGCTTTCTGTGCAGTTGTTAACACCTCTTTGTGAAGATGACAACCAGGCCCAGGAGATCATCAAGAAGCTGGAGAACAGTATAACGTTCCTCAGCCAGTGCACATTACGAGTGGCCAGTAGGGCTGAGATGTTGGGAGCCATTAATCAGGTAATCTTTCACTATTTCTGTAGTTATAATGAAATTACTAAAATGATTATTTTCCCTGAAATTATAGATTATATTTATAAGAATAAATTTTAGAAAACTCTTTATTGCACAGGACATATATGTTTAATACAGAAAAATTAAAAATGGCATATGTGAATAAAAATGTAAAATAGAATCTCTCATAATGGTATTAGCCAGTGACAGTCATTATAAAAATTTTGTTATAGTTTTGTAGACACTGCCTTCATACAGTGTTATAATCTGCTTCTTTTTCATTCAACATATAGCACAGATAGCTTTCTGTGTGGTATAAATCCATAAGTGTCATTATTTTATGATATTGGTTGAATAGATCATAAATTATTTAACCAATCCTCTATATTTAGTCATTTCAGAATATACTTGATATTTTGCTCTTGTAAACACTACTATAATAAATATCCTCAGATATGCAGCTTTGCACACTTATTCATAGAGAAGTAGAATTTCAAATTTTCTTTGTGGGAAGACTTTAATTTTTGTAATCTATACCTAAAAAATTTGTTAAAATATATTTTCCTAAGAAGGAGAAATTTAAGTGTAGAGAGAGTTTTAGTTTGATCATTTGTTATACACTTTTAATATCCTACTTCCTTTTTATCCCCTCACTATATAATAATATTTTATTTTTATTAAATTTATGTATACATAAATTTAAAAAGTTAAGTAGTTTTCCTGGCCAGTGTGGCTCAGTGGTTGAGCACCGACCCATGCCCCAAGAGGTCACAGGTTTGATTCCCTACCCAGGGCATATGCCTGGGTTGCTGGCTCGATCCCCAGCAGGATGTGTGCAGGAGGCAGCCGATTAATGTAGATGTTTCTCTCTCATCGATGTTTCTCTCTCTCCCTCTCCCTTCCTCTCTCTCTAAAACAAAACATATTTAAAAAATAAAAAGTTAAGTAGTTCTATAAAGGCTTATTATCCCACTAGAGGCTCAGTGCACGAAATTTGTGCATGGGGGAGGAGGTGTCCCTCAGCCCAGCCTGCACCCTCTCTAATCTGGGACCCCTTGGGGATGTCCAACTGCCGTTTTAGGCCTGATCCCCTATTGAGTGCTCTTACTGTCAGCAGTTTAGGCCCTATGGGATCTGGCCTAAAACGGCATTTGGACATCCCTCTCACAATCCGGGACTGATGGCTCCCAACCATTCGCCTGCCTGCCTGCCTAATTGCCCCTAACTGCTTCTGCCTGCCAGCCTGATCACCCCCTAACCACTTCCCTGCCAGCCTGATTGACACCTAACTGCTCCCCTGCCGGCCCGATTGCCCCCAACTGCCCTCCCATGCTGACCCGGTTGCCCCCAACTGCCATCCCCTGCAGGCCTGGTCCCCCCCAACTGCCCTCCCCTGGTGGCCTGTTCCCCCTTGCAACTGCCCTTCCTCTTCTGCAGGCCCGGTCACCCCTAACTGCCCTTCCCTGCCAGCCTGATTGCCCACAACTGCCCTCCCCTGCTGGCCATCTTGTGGCTATGGGTGCTGCCATCTTTGAGGGTGGGGCAGCCAATTAGCATATTCCTGCCTTATTGGCTGTGGGCACCGCCATCTTTGAGGGTGGGGCAGTCAATTAGCATATTTTCTCCTTATTGGCTTTGGGTGCTGCCATCTTTGAGGGTGGGCAATTAGCATATTTCCTCTTTATTGGTTATGGGCGCCACCATCTTTGTGACAGCATGAGGGTCAATTAGCATATTCCCCTCTTTAGTAGATAGAATTTTCCACATTCAAGAGAAATAGCTTTCAACTCTTTGAGGTTTTTTTTTTGTTTTGTTTTATCTATACCTCTAACATGCATATTCTGTCACAGTGATTTATTTTCAGTTTTTAGATATGTGTTGATGTCCCCCTGTGAAGATGAATATTTAGTTCTTCTATCAATCTGTTCCCTTGCATCTTTTCACAGATTCTCACCTTGCTGTTGGCTTCTTTTCTCCTGACCAAGCTTAAATTCCACAAACACAATATTCACTCCCTTGCATAAACCCCTCAACACTTTTCCCTTTCTTGTTTTATTTTACTCATTTAGAAAATCTACAATGCTTTTTAAATCCACTTCCCCACCTGTTCATACCTGAATAGATAGAAAACATCACACCTATATACTGACTAGCTCTCTTGAAATTCATTATCACAAACCTCATGTGGGTCCCTAGGGCCTCCCATGATTCACCCTCCCTCTCTTCTAAATATCAACTTCACATTTTCTCCTTAAACCATCATCATCCCCTCCCCATCTTCTCCTGTAAAAAAAAATTTTTGTCATATTTTTAAATTCCAGTCTCTCTGTTTTCAGAATGCTTTTAACTAATACCTTATTCTTATTTCATAGATGCAATAATAATTTGTAACTCTGAAGATATTGGTTGTTTCCTTGAAGTTTTTGTTTTTCTCTGGTTTGTTTCCTCCAGCTTGCTTTTTTCTGTTTTTATGTTCTTCTTTTGTGCTAGCGGCTTTCCTCCAACATCTGATGGACCATTATACAGCTGATTGGGAGCTCTGTGTATGTTGAGTGGGGAGGGTTCTTGTTGGCCCTGAGCTTCGCACAAGCTAGGTGTTTCGTTGGAATGCTCTTACTGTCAGCAGTTTTAGGACCTTCATCTTGGGATGTTAGGTTCCTTGGAGAAAGATCTTCTAGCTGCCTGCCTTGAGGTATAAGCCTGGCTACCAGAGTTTGGGAGCTTGAAGGGAGAATAAGGCTAGGGATCTCATTATTCAGTATGTATGCAGACTTTTGCTTACATCCATTTATTTCATGATGAGCCACCATCAACTATCTCTTCCTACCTGAGCCACAGACCCTCTTTATTCAATCTTTGTAGTTTTTCACCAAAGTGGTGGGAGGGTAGTTGCTCGGCTGGCTTGAGTAAGGGAGGGCATCTGTGGGTCTAATCACTTTTTACATGAATTTTCAGCCATCTCTTCTGTGCACATTTCCACTTTGGAGCTTAATTCCAGAGATGCCACTATCCCCTGATCCTTTAGCACTTTCCTAGGCTGCTTCTAGGCTTTTCTTACTGCTTATTTTAGGGTTCAGCTTTTTCACATCTTAGTCATTTACCAAGAGTCGTCCTAGCAGGCTTTCAAATTTGTATTGCTATTATATCTTCTGTTTTATTTGCTCTGGTGGACTCAGGCCTTTTTTAAATAGAAATACCTTTGTTACCATTTTAGTAGGATTTAGGGATAAAGATAAATGCATGTTTCTAATCACCATCTTTTAACTGGGTAATATTTTCAATATAAATGTATTTCTTTTTTTTCTACTAGGAAAGCCGGGTTAGCAAAGCAGTTGAAGTAATGATTCAGCACGTAGAAAACCTGAAGAGAATGTATGCCAAAGAACACGCTGAATTAGAAGAACTGAAACAGGTTCTTTTGCAAAATGAAAGGTCTTTTAACCCTCTGGAAGATGAAGGTAATACAAATTTAAGATAATAGTGCCAGTTATGATTTCCTAACATTCACCTCTTTCATTCTCTCTCTTACTACTTCTTGTTAGGTCTTAAATATAAGACCCTTAGGTTAAAGTTATAGTAAAAGAAGAACTCATTCCTGTCATCTGCATAGCCAAAAGTAGGATGTCAGTTAGATAACAGGCTGGGAGACAAAGATTCTTTGATAATGACATAAAAAAATCATTAAATCTGCCCAGAATGGTGTGGCTCAGTGGGTTGAAAACCATCCCATGCACCGAAAGGTTGCTGGTTTGATTCCTGGTCAGGACACATGCCTGGGTTGTGGGCTCAATCCCCAGTGAGGGGTGTGCAGGAAGCAGCCAATCAATGATCTTTCTCTCTCATCAGTGTTTCTCCCTCTCTCACCTTCTCCCTTCCCCTTTCTAGAATCAATAAAAACATATTTTTTTAAATTCATTGAATAAATTTAAATTGCTGAGATCAGAGAATATATATAATCCAACCCATTAAGTTGACCCTAGTGTTCTCCTACTTAGGATATGTTAAAATTGGTTCTTTCTCCACACAAAGTAAGACAGAATAACTATGAATGTTCTCATCAACCGTGGTTTTGTATTCCTCAGAGAAGGACTAAAACTAGCATAGTAAAGCTGACTAATGAATGAAAAATAGAGACACATGTAAGGCCATGGAAAATATCTTAATATAAGGTTTACTAGTATATAAATCTTATAATAGTTTCTGTTAAGCAGTATGAACTTCTGAGAATTCTTAATGTTCTATTCCTTCTTCAAGAAAAGTAACCATACTTGGTATCTTCTATCTGTAATTTTGGGTTCATTTATTCAGAAGATATTCATTTAGTACCTACTATGTGCTAGGTCAGCATTCTGGACATATGTAGTAACATAGAGGGCTATTTTCTGTTGGTTAAGATGGTCATTTTTTATGAATCACCGAATAAACAATAGCCAAATATTTATAACATCAGCAGTCTTCAGGATCTTAAATATTTTCTGACCATTGTTTTTCTTTGTAAAGAATTAAGACCACTGCATTAACAGATATTACAAAGGTAGTTTCTAAAATGTGCAAATGTTTTTCCTTCAGATGACTGTCAAGTTAAAAAACGCTCAGCTTCTCTAAACTCCAAGGTAATTAATAATTCACCTACGGATTCACTTTAAAGATGTCTATCAAATATTATAGGGGGCTGGTTTTTAAATATTTGAAGCAACATAGCGTTGAATGTAGATCATAAAACAATTATTTTAATTCACATGTATGCACATATGTGTGTGTATATTTGCTTAAGTGTATGCTTTTACGTTTCTTGTTATGCTGGTTTATCAATTAAGTTTGACTGGTGGTGAGAAGGAAGCTGTAAACAATAGTGTCTCTCATGTAAAATGGGAATTGGAAATGGAAGCCCAACAAAAGCAAAGTAGCTTCACAAAATCCACAGGGCCAGTCTCCTCCTCGCTCGCTGCTTCATCCACTCAGCCCTTTGGTTCCACACTATGGTGTGAGAGGCCCCTGCAGTCCCAGGCACCAAGTCCTGGTCATTACCCAGGCACATTCCAAGAAAAAGGAAAGACAGGTATTCCCTCGCCCTTTAAAAATAACTTCCTAGAAGTCCCGGAAAACTTTTCCCTTTTCACTTTAGTTGCAAATAAGACTGGAAATACAGTTTTTTATTCTGGAGGCTGTATGCCTAACTAAAAATTAGGGAGTTTGAAAATCAGGATTGCTCAGGATTTAGTGATAGGATTTTTGAGCAAGTGACTCAAATCATTCCATCCAAATCTCTTTTCCACTCATGAGGAAAAAGAGAAGCATAGAAGTTCAGTGATTAGTTGTGATATATGTAGTGGTAGAACCATGATTTGGACCCAGGTTTCATGGACCACAGGTTGATATTCTTGATGCTCAATTAACCTATGAAAATAATTTAGGGATAATGGTTTAAGAAAAAGATTCACATAAAACTTTATTTCCTACATTTAAAATATTTTTATTTCCTGAAGCTGTACTTACTCAAACTTTAAGAACCACATAATACTATATAATATTTTTTTCTGTACTAATCTCAAGGTCGATCTAAAAACACACCCATTCATTAAAGTAATATGCCCATCCTTAAATGAATTAAATGGAAAAAATGAAACAATTTTTAAAAAGCTAAAATATAGCTCCTCTTAGTAGGGAAAAATCTTTCTAAAAGAAATGGTAACAAAAGGGAGGAAGAGATGAAGAGCATTGGCTGTATTAACAATGAAAACATTTTCTGCCCAAAATATCATGAACAAAATTAATATGGGCAGAGATCATAAACAGGTGGTTCTTAGATGGCTATTTAACATAGAAAAAGTGTTGAATATTTTGCAAGTCAAATAAATGGAAACCTAAACAAGAAAGCTTATACTCTATTTGATTGGCAAAAATCAGACTCACCCAGTGTTGGGGAAGGTGAAATGTAAATAAGTAGAATATTTCTGGAAGGCAATTTGCTCATAACAAAATCCTTTAAAAATGCTTACTGTTTAACTCAGTAGTCAAGTGCATGGATGTGTATGTACAAAGATATTCATCAGTGTTGCATATAAGAATAAAACAGTAAGAACTTTCTAAATGTTTGTTTCCCCCCTTTGAATAGCCATCTTCTCTTCGAAGAGTAACGATTGCCTCTTTACCCAGAAATATTGGCAATGCAGCAACGGTAAGCAAGTTTCTAAATGTTCTCAAAAAGCAAATTCGTTTTCATAGGAGAAAAATATACAAAATACTTCATTAAATTCCTATTTTATCATTTCTTTAACACCTGAACTTTAAAGGTGGCTGGGATGGAAAACAATGACCGATTCAGTAGGAGGTCAAGCAGTTGGTAAGTGTAATTATATGGTTGCTCTTTGGGAACTTTCCTAATTTTAACTGTGCTAAAGTAAATGTTTTAAGTAAGTGATATAAGCAGAACAATTATAAAAATTGTCATATAATGAAATGTTTTATTATTTTTTAAAATAAGCAATATGCGAGTGCCAAGGAAAATAATTAGAACGTATAATTTTTGTATTGAGTTAGGTAGTGGGAAATAAGTTAATAATGGGTATGGATGTATTTGATTTGACAAGTGGATATGATCATCTTTGTATAGGCGTATTTTGGGGTCAAAGCAGAGTGAACACCGTCCCTCATTACAGCGGTTTATCAGCACCTATTCCTGGGCAGATGGTGAAGAAGAAAAATGTGAGCTAAAGTAGGTGAAGCTTGTGTTTGTTAACCTGCTGTGAGCTGGGCATAAACAGTGGGGATCACTTTTACTCTGTGATGAGATCAGTGCTGCATTATCAAAAAGCTAACTCACTGTTTAAGACTTATAAACTGCAAAGCACTATATAAAAGCTATTTGTGAATACATTCACTCTTGTAGGGCTCAGAACTGCAAGGTTTTCCGTCTTAAGTTAGAAAAGGCCCTGTAATTTGCCAGATTTGTAAAGATAATTTTTTTCCCTGTACAGGCAGGTATCTGGCCAGCAGGGATGGGGTGGGGTGGGGGGGCGCAGTGAATAAAGAGTCACAGAAGTGAAATGTGTATCTTTTTAAAAAAAAAATACATGAATTATATATATACCATAAGCATATATGTAATATATGTGCATTATATATATCTTCCCTTTACATAAATGAAGAGTAGGAGAAACATAAAACTCTACATGACTACTTTATATTTAGCAAATTACATAAAATATACTTCTATAGCACAAGGGAGAGAGGGCAGGAAAGAGAAGCATGAACAAATGCCTCTAAGTCAGTGGTTCTCAACCTGGCCCTTTAAATACAGTTCCTCATATTGTGACCCAACCATAAAATTATTTTCGTTGCTACTTCATAACTGTAATGTTGCTACTGTTATGAATCATAATGTAAATATCTGATATGCAGGATGGTCTTAGGCAACCCCTGTGAAAGGGTCATTTGACCGCCAAAGGGGTCGCGACCCACAGGTTGAGAACCGCTGCTCTAAGTCTTTGGGTGATCTTGGACAAATTGCTTTAACCTTCCTTGGTCTCAGTTTCCTCATCTGCAGAGATGTTAATGAAATGATTTTATGTTCATGTTATACATGTTCCTGGAGAGCCTAGTGTGTGACAGATACTACATCAGTCCTAAGGAATATAGAGATGAGTAAGACATAGGACCTACCTTTAAAGTTCTCTGTGTTTTAAAATACTCCCGGAGCCTGCTGCGTGTACTGAAAACTCTAAGAGTTACCATAGTGGATATTTACTGATCTGGGATAGAAAAAAGATCAAGAGTTTCCTTCAAAAGAGTACAATGTATTATTTGCTTTTTGTTAGTATAGTATGATATTTACTGCGAAGTCTTTGCAAACAAAAGGCTAAAACTGAGAATCTTATAAGAATGCAGTTGATTCTGGCTTATTTCCTTTAAAGACTAAACTAAAATCTACCACATACATTCCCTGTTTTTTTTGACAAAAACAACCACCACCACTTTGAGACAGTTCCCTTTGGCAATTGTGAGGGTATCACAAGCTTGAACTCAGCAGTGAACATAATAATGAAAGGTTCTGTTTGGGTAAGGGCATCCCTCTTTAGATAATATGAAGTTATTTAAAGTCAATTCAGTTGCCATTTGCCAGATCACTAAACACTGCTAGCATATTTTAACTAGTTTTGCACTGAGAATATGTTCATAAAGTTTTAAAATTAATATTTTTAGAGAAATAGAAGAAATAACACTTTGATGTTACTCCAATTTAGCATTTATCAAAAAGCCTACAGAGAAAAGAGTAAAATCAACTAAGATAGGTTATTACAGTCCATGTGGTAGAAGAATACTTAGTGAAAACAAAATGGTTAAATAAATTTGGTGATTTGACTTTTAGAACTAGAAATTTGTCAAATATTTCTAACGTAAAACAAATATTTGTGTGCATCTTTATTTATACAGTAAAATGTAGCAATATTTTATAATCATAGCACATTATTCTTAGTTTTGTGTATTTAAACAAGAACAACACTTATTACAGAACTAAGGACGATGCAGAGCCCCCTGGAGAAGAAACAGTAGAAAGGACAAGAAAGCCAAGTCTTTCTGAAAAGAGGAATAATCCATCGAAATGGGATGTCTCTTCAATGTAAGTTGTCTACCTGCCAAATTCTGTCACTTCAGTGGAATGGGGAAGGGCAAGGCAGGGTTAACAGTATTACCCCGGATTAAATTACTTTATTTAAAGACCTGTCAAACTGATAATTAAGATGAATAACAAACTTCAAATGGTCTGCAGGGGTTATTCCTGAACCTGTGAATTACAACAGGCAGGAGCATCCCGTGCAAGGAGCCTGGCCCTGCAGTCAGGAGGCCTAGCTCCACGCCCAGCTCTCTAATGAGCTCTGTGGCCTGGGCACGTTCACCCATTTCTGAGCACCTATTTCTTCATCTATTAAATAGGGGTGATACCAGTACCTTTGTCCTTGTTCTGTGGTCATGATTACATAAATTACCACATGTAAAATGTTTAGCACAGTTTCAAAGACTTAAATGATGCTGTAAATAACCTTTTGGGGTGGGTGTCTCTAAAAGAAATAGAGTTTAGCCCTAACTGGTTTGGCTCAGTGGATAGAGCGTCAGCCTGTGGACTCAAGGAATAAATGACCTGTTTATCTATACCAGGGGTCCTCAAACTTTTTAAACAGGGAGCCAGTTCACTGTCCCTCAGACCGTTGGAGGGCCGGGCTATAGTTTAAAAAAAAACTATGAACAAATTCCTATGCACACTGCATATCTTATTTTGAAGTAAAAAAACAAAACGGGAACAAATACAATATTTGTATTTGCATGTGGCCCGCGGGCCGTAGTTTGAGGACCCCTATCTATACAAATGTTCATACACATATATTCTATTCTACTCAATAAGTAATATTTTTTGTTTCCACTGTAGGAACACACTGCCTTACCTGAATGAGATAAATAGTTGTATGTTCTTGTTAGGAGTTAAATGATGCCTGAATCACAGCATTTTCAGATTCTCACCATAATAACATGTTATTTTTTTTAATTCTGACAATCATAAAAGGGGACAGATTGTGGCCCAAACCAAGACAACAGATCACATTATGTAGTTTATTACACAGCAGTGCTGGTCAACGACTTGATTGGTATTGTTGACAAAAGAAGTGTTTCTAATAATGGATTACTGTGATGACCAAATTCTGAATCTGTATTTTCCTTACAGCTATGACACAATAGCTTCCTGGGCAGCAAATCTCAAGACCTCCATCAGAAAGGCTAATAAGGCGCTCTGGCTTTCCGTCGCGTTGATTGTACTGTTTGCAGCTTTGATAAGCTTCCTCACGGGCCGATTTTTCCAGAAGTCCGTGGATGCTGCCCCCACCCAGGATGGAGACTCCTGGATGTCTCTAGAACATATCTTGTGGCCATTTACCAGACTCCGACACAACGGGCCACCACCAGTGTGACCGTAGGACGTCCTAATGTGTGTGTCTTGATTTTTTTTAAAGTTTCAGTATCTGAATTTTGTAAATGAGTAACATTTAGCTGGGAAAGGATAGCCTGGAACCAGAGGTCCTCAGAATGACTAAGATTTTTAAATTCCCTCTTTTTGTGATTACCTTTCCATGACCTTTTAATGAGCTTATTGGGGCGGGTATATTATATATATTGTTAACTTTTGTTGAAATAAAGCATCGTTAAATCTCAGTGGGCCAGTGTTCATAGGAAAAGAACCCCACGTGTTACAAAATAAAATTTGAGTGTAAAATGCTGATTAGATTATTTAAGAGCCTATTTGAAATATAGTCACTTGCTACATTTTATTGAGGAAATACCTGATTTTTTCTTCAAGTTGCTTGATTCTTCATGTTGGGTAAAGTTTATCAGTAGAGATTAAGAATAGCTGAATATTCTAATACAGAGTAGCATGTGGCACACGGAGTCAATAAACTGGTTGTCAGGGCCCTTGGTTTTCGCCATTGCTTCTTGAGAAGCAAAATCCTTGATCATGTGATAGAGAGTAGAATGAAACTCAGTTTCCTCTTTCAGGGCCTCAGAGAATGCCTCACTGTCTTCGTCAATCTTGAGCCTTTGTGCTCGGTTGCCACTAAACATTAAAAGAGTCCATGTAGGATCCTGAATACATTCCTGTTCTTTAGTAAGGCATTCACTCACCTAAAGAAAGAAAATTAGAGAAATCTGTTAATCCGGTGAAGTAGACTGGCAGGAGAGTATTAGTTGAAGGGCTCAACTCAATCCCCAAGATGTATTAATTCAATCAACAAATATTTATTGAGGGACTGTCATGTGCCAGACACTATTCTAGTTGCTGGGAATATAACAACAAACCAAACATTAATCAGTAACTAATGATTGTCCTCAAAGAGCTTAGGTTCTAGTGGGAGAAACACAGTAAACAAGACAAATAAATACGGTGGCTAATTTATGCTCAAACATTAATCAGTCAGCTTTTAGAATTTATCAGGTAAGTGGCAAAAGTGCCAAAAAGTTAAATTGGAGAGTTCGTGAACCATTGATACATATTCGCATTAAAGGCTTCCATTTGTTCTGGAGTTACTATAACGAGTTAAAAGGACTCTAGTCTGAAATCAAGAGCATTTGGTACCATAATGGGCAATGAAGGTATGACCCTTCACATAGTTTAGCTTTATATTTTTGACAAAATTTTAAAAAATGGTTTTAAAACTGAATTTTGAGTGTTATTCCCCCAACCCCCTTTTCAAGAGGGGAAAGCAGTCTATATTCTTTTAGCTTTTGAGTACCTTTTCTTTTGGAGGACAAAGTAGTGTTATGGGTTTTTGCATACTCTACCTTAAATATAACTTTTTCAGAACCACACTGCATATTCCACTTGCTCCAACCAAACGCAAAAGCAGAACTTAGCACGGCCATTTGTCGATAAGCTTTCATTTCCACCAAAGGAACCTGTCAATATAAAAGTCAATAGAATTGATCATAGAGCCTTCTCAACAAGTCTCCCTTCCATTCTTGGCCTCCTACGGCTTATTCTCAAAACAGAAAAAGCCATTAAAATGTAAGTCAGATTCTATGACTCCTCTCTCAAAATGGGGCAATGGCTTTCTCTTGCTCTCAAATAGAATCCAAAGTCCTAACAGTGATCTGTAAGGGTCTGTGTGATCTGACACCCTCCCACATACATCTCATTATCTGTCTGACCTATCTTTTCTTCTCCCTTTGCTAACTCCAAGCACCTGGCCTCCTTGCTGTACCTTCAATCCTCTAGGCCAGTGGTCAGCAAACCGAGGCTCGCGAGCCACATTCAGCTCTTTGGCCCCCTGAGTGTGGCTCTTCCACAAAATACCACATGCGGGCATGCACATACAGTGCAATTGAAACTTCGTGGCCCATGTACAGAAGTCGGTTTTCAGCCTGGGCGAATATATTTTGAAGAAGTGGCGTTAGAAGGAGTGGGGGGTGTCGGTCGGTCAGGCGACGGGAGACGTGGCGCAGGCGGGCCACGGAATACGCAGTGCGGGGGGAGATGCGTGCGATTCATGCACCAGTTGAGTGAGCCAGTCAGTCAGCAGTCTCATGGTGCAGTGGTTAGTGCTAGTTGCATCCGCAAATCGTGCACGGGTGACAAAAGTACCTACTCGAAGCATAAAGTTACCTGTATTTTCCCAACCAGCTGCAAATCCTACAGGTATTTTTGTCATCAATTTAAGAATTGTAATTATTTTGTGTTGGTGGCTTTATTATTATAAAATGAAACATTTTTTCTCCCTTTAATATTGACATTGGCAACTTTGAAATGCAATTGCTGGATTTAAAAAACAAAGAGCTGTGGAGCTCGAAATTTGAACGTCTTTGTGCTGATATAGAAATATTGGAGAAAAACAAATGTGAACTTAGTTCACAGCACGTGGTCTGCTTTGAAAGACCTGGAGAAGGAAGATATGTTGATTTTTAACACCTGGAATAGTATTCCTGACTCATATAATCAACTGAAAAAACTAGCGTTTGCTGTTCTTTCCTTATATGGGTCTATATATTTATGCGAACAATCATTTTCAAGCATGAACCTTATCAAGAGTAAATTGAAGAGTCGTCTTATTGATGAGAACCTGGAATCGTGCCTAAAATTAAAAACAACATACAAACCTGACTTACCCAAACTTTCCAAGGAGATGCAAGGCCATTGTTCATATTAGCGTTTGTCAGTCATTGTCATGATTTAATTTTATGGATATTGTAAGGTAAATTGTAAGGAATTTAATTTTATCAATAAATAATATCATTATTAAGTATGATATCAAGTTTTATTCAACGTGCCTATAGTTTAACTAAGACTTAAAACTTTAAGTAAAGTTTATTAAGTTAATTTTAGGGAACGCTGTGGAGTGAAAGAAAATGTAGTGTCAAGGATTGAGAAAGGTATGTTGAGATGGTTTGGACATATAGAGAGGATGAACGGAAGGAGATAGACAAAACAAGTATATAAGACGAGTGTGGATGGGAGAGTTGGAAGGGGTCGACCTCAGCAAATGTACCTCAAATGTCAGATTGAGGACGTTTTTAGCAAAGGCCAGCTTAGGAGTACCCTAATTAAGTTAATAACAATGTACCTACCTATATAGTTTAAGTTTAAAAAATTTGGCTCTCAAAAGAAATTTCAATCGTTGTACTGTTGATATTTGGCTCTGTTGACTAATGAGTTTGCCGACCACTGCTCTAGGCCACTCAGCCTGGAAGCTGCTTCCTGAGATATCCACTTGGTTAAACTCCCCACCTTCCTGTTCTGCTCAAATTTTTCCTTCTCCCTGAGCCCCCGATGCCCTATTTGATACTGTACACAGCCCTAACCCCAGTGCTCATGATCTACCTTTTCTTTTATCCACAGCACTTATCTACCTTTGACGTGAAATCATTTTTTATGCTTATTGTTTATTTTTGTCTCCTTCTACTAGAATGTAAGCTCCACAAGGTCAGGAACTTTTTTTAAAAAAAAAAATTCACTAACGTATCCTAAGCGTCTAAAACATGCCTAGAATACTAGAATATAGGTCAGCGGTTCTCAACCTGTGGGTCGCGACCCCTTCGGTGGTCGAACGACCCTTTCACAGGGGTCGCCTAAGACCATCCTGCATATCAGATATTTACATTACAAATCATAACAGTAGCAACATTACAGTTATGAAATAGCAATGAAAATAATTTTATGGTTGGGTCACAACATGAGGAACTGTATTTAAAGGGCCAGAAGGTTGAGAACCACTGATATAGGTGGTCAGAAAAAGAAATTTTTGAATATTCTGAATAAATCAAGACTACACTACATTCAGCATTTGCAGAGTAATTGGAAATTTGAGTTACTAAAACCAAGGTGGTTCTCTCCCCTCCACCCCCGCCACACACACACACACACACACACACACACACACACACGTGTACATACTCTTGATATAATTATTTTCAGATGCTACATGAATGTCTACCTATATTGTCATTTTTCTGGTATATTATCAACTTGTTCTTGAGAACTGAATTCATCTGCCCAAAACACCTCTCATGATTAGAAGAGAATTTGTCTTCATTCATATGTCAAATATTACTAAAAATCTTCTGTATTCTAGGAATATGCGAGGTGCTGGAAGAATCCATCAAAATTGATCAAAAGACAGTTCCCATCCTCAAAGAGCTCACAGTTTCATAAGGAAGGATCTCATTTAGCTAAAGCCTTACCAGTAACACAAAGCAGGCTGTGTTTTGTATATGTCTACAGGGAGCCTCTGCCAAGACACGGGAGGAAGTGGGTTGTGTACCAGCCGTCTGTATGTGTGTATGATTTAATCTGACTTATCCTGTTTGGGAAACTGCTCAGTCATTTACTCTTTTAAGAAGTCTTACATATATCCAGTCTGGAAGAAGCAAGAACATATACAGAATGTGACGTGGCTCTGACTACCCTTGCACTAACACCGACCAGTTGTGGGTGTCCTCCTTTTGTCAAGTGAAGATCATACTAAAGGCTTACTTTCTTGGGGAAGATTATTAAAATTTAGAGAACTCTGAATTTCTGGTCTTGCCATTTATTCCTTCCTTTCTAACTATAATCGTATATAAATGAATATAGAAAACCCACGAGGTACTTTAAGATTTATATACAATTTAATACTTGCTAGCATTTGAAATGTCCATCACATTAAGTTTGGAAAAAATCATGCTTACCTTACAGTTTGTAGCAACATAAAAATGAGAGTATTCAGTAGGGAAGATATTCAATCCAGCTTCTTGCAAAGTAATAATGAAATAAATAGGAGTCATCCATTTTCCTTCCAAAATAGAGAGAGGCTTTTTGTCACCCACATTTAATGAAGCTAACATGCAGAGGCCTTCCTAGTATCAATGAGAAAAAAAATAAGCTTTCATACAAGTTAAAGGAATTCTTCATTATCATTCTGGTTCTAGCCTTTGGGTTCTTTATACCATTTTTTTTAACCCTATCTCATTCTACACTGAGTGGCCAGATTATTATGACCACCCCATCAGTACAATGAAGTGAATTAGTTATGCAAATAATAATAATAATAAAACCTTGAGAGTATTTGCTTAGGAAGTTTTCAATATTCAGTATTTTTGGAAGTACTGATGGGGTGGTCATAATAATCTGGCCACTCAATGTATATTAAAAGGAGTGCAGGGCAGCTATGTCTTAGGACCAACCTGAAAGCTCTGCCACGAAGTCTCCATGTTACCTTTCAGTGCTTTATCTGAACAATAAAGGGACTGAACTAAAGGATCTTTCAGATCTCCTCTTTTATAAGTTGTGATCTAAGAATACTACATATGTTCGTGTTGAATTATAATAGCTATTTGATAGCAATCAAGCTACAACTTTTAAGGATAATTTTTTACACATAAGATTTAACATAATGCAAAATTATTTTACAGTTTTGAAGTTTGCAAAGTTTAAACTGGAAGTTTGAAGGTGTACAAAATTCACACGTCTCATCGGCTTTCAAAAGCAAAGACTGATTAAATCCAGTCTTCCTGCCACATTCTTAAGAATTTCAGGCTCTCTCTTTCTTAAAACAATTTTAGTGAGGTATACTTTACATATCATAAATTCACCCATTTCAAATGCATAATACAGTGATTTTTTTAAAACTTTACTGAGTGGTGCAACGATCACCATAAATCAGTTTCGGAACACTTCCGTCCTCCTCTCATCCCTCATGCCAATGTACAGTTAATCCCCATTCCCACCTTCAGCCTCAGGCAACCACTAATCTACTTTCTGTCTCTAGATTCCAGGCTAATTTATGAGTGACAAGTAATACAGGCTCCTTGAGAGAGAAATCTCACAAAGGGGGTTCCAAATGGCTTGGTGATAAAGATCAGACACCTCTCAGGAGGGGGTCAAAAACTCTGAAAATCATACTGCAACCAGGCTTGTACCTTCATTAATTGGCCTATTCCTAGTAACTTTAGGGTATAAATTTGTGCCTCGCTTTTTACATGTTATTTCCTATCTAATTAATATTTTGTTTAGAAATTATAGCTCAAAGTATATATTAAACATATTTATAAAAGACCTTTCAGCAGCAGTTCCCTACTGAAGACTGGGCTGCAGCCCTCACTGCTTAGGCCACTGAGTGGGTAGAAACACCCACTCAATGGTCTTAGCTGTTCTTACACAGACTTTTAGACAGAAAGTGGAAATAAGGTTGATGGAAAATAAAGTTTCTTAAAAAAAAAAGGCATTTCTGTATGTAAATGACCGGTGAGCGATTGCTTTCACACACTCTCTTATAGTCATCAATGAGGCTTACCTCTTGGATATGACTTGCTATAACAATGGTTTACCTTAATTTGTATTTGAATCTCAGCAAATACTGTCGTCACAGTCAAAAGTACTTTATTCTCATCGAGTGGTCTTAGTTCCCATGACTGGTATGGCATGTTAATATGAGCATCTTGAATCAAGGTAACAGGGCCCAAAGTGTCCAGGTTGAACGTTATAATTCTTTCTTCTGATTTATAAACTACATTACTGATGCCATCAGTTTTCCAATGTTTACCTTTTAGATTAAAGCAAATGACATTAGTTTCCTCTTTTCCTATACAAAAATGTGTTGAATGAAACCCAAATAACTGCAATATATATAAAGGTCTCTTTTACATTTAGAACAGAATCTCAACAAAAAACCGACCTTGCTGGGAGTTTCTTCCTATCTACAAGGTCAAGCTTGGTATGCAAGACCTTCAAATGAAGCTTTGGCTCACATTTCTGGCTTCGTCCCTTACCACTTCTCACACACCTGGTTTCAGCCACGCTTTTTTCCTTCCCTAACAACCTCATGCATCTGTATGCCTCTGCAGGTACAGTTCTTTCTCCCTACAGAACTCTTCCTTAGTACAGAACCCCTTTTCATCTTTTTTAAACAGCTTTGACATTTACCTGTCTTAAGCATATGATTAAATTATTTTAATAAATTTACCCAGTTTTGCAACCATCCCCACAATCCAGTTTTTAGCACATTATTATCCTCCTGATAAGTTCCCTGTGTCCATTTATAGTTCATTCCCATTCCCACCTTCCAGCCCCAGGCAACTATTAAGATACTTCCTGTCTCTAAAGATTTGCCTTTTCTGGACTTTTCATATAATAGGTGGTCTTTTGTGTGTCTTACAACTCAATAATAAAACACAACCCAGTTTAAAAATGGGTAAAAGATTTGAATAAACATTTCACCAAAGAAGATATATTCAAGGATAATAGATACATTTTAAAAATGCTCAATATTATTGGTCATTAGGAAAATACAAATTAAAACCACAAGATACCACTTCATACCCACTACAATGGTTATAATAAAAAATACATAACAGCAAACATTTTCAAGGATGTGGAGAAATGGGAAAACTCGTATTGCTAGCAGGCATGTAAAATGGTACAGCTACTTTGAAAAATCAATTTGGCAGTTTCTTAAAAAGTTAACATAAATTTACCATTCAACTCAGCAATTCCACTCCTAGCTATATGCCTAATAGAAATGAAGAGATATGCCCATGCAAAGTCTCATAGGAGAATGCTCTCTTAGTCTCTTGAGAACCTGTTCAATATTTCATCCTTAACCTTCCAGACTGACTTGGTCACCATTCTGCTCTACAGCACTGCCATCTCTGATAGCACACCTCTGCATCATGTTGTGATGTTTTTCTCTATATGCCTCTCCTACAACTTTGAACACTCCCAGAGGAAAGAATGCATTTCTCTCTCTATTTCTGACTGTTTAGCATACCTCTTTTAATTACATAATTATCAAAGCTGGTGTACCTTCAGCATCCCACCTTGCCACCAGGGGATTCTCAAAAAAGATCACGTTCTCATGAACCTCAAGCATGACCTCTATGGGTGGGAAAACGTTTTCTGTTTCTAAGTCTTCTGTAGTTGCTGGAGGATAAACAAATTTCTGTAATCCATCTTGGAGTATCTTGTAAAAATGACCGAAACAACATCAAGTTAGAAGCTGACTGGTGTTATAGCTAAAGATGTAAATATTGCCGAATAAGCTATGTAGTTATTTTTCATAAGTACTAAAGTTTGGTCCCAACTATAGATTGACTAACAAAATGTTATAGCAAAATGAAAAGATAATGATTAAGGGGGAAAGCACTAAATTTGAATGTAATTACAGAACCCTTTTATGGGCCAGGTTCTAGGCTGGGACTTACTCCGCATTTTATTCCAAGCAATCCTACAGGCATATGTTTAACAAAGCAGGTGACTGGGTGAAAACGGTAAAGCAAATGAGAAGTACAGATGGGCAGTTACAAAATAGTCATGGGGATGTAAACTTAATTACCTACTGTAATAACTATGTATGGTGCCAGCTGGGGAACACTTTCTAAAGTATGTGACGATCTACGTCAAACCTCAGAAAGAAGGTGGGCTTTGAGGGGGTAAGAGATCAACCAAAAGACTTGTATTCATGCATATAAGCATAACCCATGGACACAAACAGTAGGGGGATGAGGGCATGTGCTGGGGGGTGGGAGAGGCCAGGGAGAGTTCAATGGGGAAAAAGGGAGACATATGTGATACTTTAAACAATAAAGAATTTAAATCAAAAATAATAATTACAGAGTAAGTCACGGTCTAGCCATTATGCTGTATACCTGAAACTAATACAAAATAATATTGAATGTAAAATATAATTTTAAAAATTTTAATAAAAAAAGTAGGTAAGTGGGATTTCCATAATCAAGTAATTTGCCAATAATTACAAAATTACTTCAAGGAGGCATCAGAACTCAAAAACAGAGCTAGGGGACCCCAGATACCATGTTCCAATACCCTGGCTAGGCTGTGTAGGCGAAGAGAGAAAAAAAGTATAAGCAGAGTAACAAGTGTAGAAATGAATGGATGAAAGTAAAACTCATCACATTGTTCATCTTAAACTTGCATGTCAATTGTATCTCAATAAAGCTGGGAGGAAAAAGTAAGTCAATGAAACCAACAGATTTCTCTGGGATAAAGGCGATCCATCCACTATCTAAATTTAACATCTAGATGTAGAAAAAGATCGAGGGAAGGGGAAAGACTAACAATGTTACAAAATAGAGAAAGAAAAAATGGATGGGGGGAAATTGTGGAGGAGGGGGAGATTATTGAAAAGCTATTTGAAATAAAGTCCTGGCCTGTGTAGCCTAGTTGGTTGAGTGTCTTTCCCATGTACCCAAAGGTCGCTGATTTGATTCTGGTCAGGACACATACCAGGTTGGGAGTTCGATCCCCAGTTGGGGTTCATAGAGGAGACAACCAATAGATGTTTCTTGTGCTCTCCTCCCTCTCCCTTCTTACTATCATGTCTCTAAAAATCAATAAAAACACATATTTTTTTAAAAGATTATTGGAAAAAAGTAGGAAGGCCTCTTTGTTGCAGGAGAGGAAAACAGGTATGAGGCAGGCTACCCTGTGCTCAGATGGAGAGTGCAGACTGGTGGTCTCGGGACATTCTCACAAAGATCTTTGGGTGAACCCTGAAAACCC